TTTGGCCAAAAATGGACTTTTCTCCAAACAACGCAAAAATACCTCTGGAGACGAGTGGAGCATGAATCAATATTCAAACACCCAAATTTTGGCAGATTTAGGCAAAAATCATCCATTTTGGGTAGGAAATACATGTAAATAAAAAGCCAAATTTTGACTGTTTTTACCCCAAATTTCGGTCAAATTTTCTTTTCAAAGGCACATCTGTTCCCTAATCGAATTGGAATGTTTTCAGGGTTACCTTAAGCATCTTTCCTGCAAGTTTCAAGGAATTTCATTTTTTGGCCAAAATTGAAAAAAATACAAGGGGTTAGCCTTACATTTTTAACCAAATTTGGCCAAAAATGGACTTTTCTCCAAACAACGCAGAAATACCTCTGGAGACGAGTGGAGCATGAATCAATATTCAAACACCCAAACTTTGGTAGATTTAGGCAAATATCATCCATTTTCGTGGTAGGAAATACATGTAAATAAAAAGGCAAATTTTGACTGTTTTTACCCCAAATTCGGCCAAATTTTCTTTTCCAAGGCACATCTGTTTCCTAATCGAATTGGAATGTGTTCAGGGTTACTTTAAGCATCTTTCCTGCAAGTTTCAAGGAATTTCATTTTTTTGCCAAAATTGAAAAAAATACAAGGGGTTAGCCTTACATTTTTAACCAAATTTGGCCAAAAATGGACTTTTCTCCAAACAACGCAGAAATACCTCTGGAGACGAGTGGAGCATGAACCAATATTCAAACACCCAAACTTTGGTAGATTTAGGCAAATATCATCCATTTTCGTGGTAGGAAATACATGTAAATAAAAAGGCAAATTTTGACTGTTTTTACCCCAAATTTCGGCCAAATTTTCTTTTCAAGGCACATCTGTTCCCTAATCGAATTGGAATGTGTTCAGGGTTACCTTGAGCATCTTTCCTGCAAGTTTCAAGGAATTTCATTTTTTGGCCAAAATTGAAAAAAATACAAGGGGTTAGCCTTACATTTTTAACCAAATTTGGCCAAAAATGGACTTTTCTCCAAACAACGCAGAAATACCTCTGGAGACGAGTGGAGCATGAATCAATATTCAAACACCCAAACTTTGGTAGATTTAGGCAAATATCATCCATTTTTGTGGTAGGAAATACATGTAAATAAAAAGGCAAATTTTGACTGTTTTTACCCCAAATTTCGGTCCAATTTTCTTTTCAAAGGCACATCTGTTCCCTAATCGAATTGGAATGTGTTCAGGGTTACCTTAAGCATCTTTCCTGCAAGTTTCAAGGAATTTCATTTTTTGGCCAAAATTGAAAAAAATACAAGGGGTTAGCCTTACATTTTTAACCAAATTTGGCCAAAAATGGACTTTTCTCCAAACAACGCAAAAATACCTCTGGAGACGAGTGGAGCATGAATCAATATTCAAACACCCAAATTTTGGCAGATTTAGGCAAAAATCATCCATTGTGGGTAGGAAATACATGTAAATAAAAAGCCAAATTTTGACTGTTTTTACCCCAAATTTCGGCCAAATTTTCTTTTCAAAGGCACATCTGTTCCCTAATCGAATTGGAATGTGTTCAGGGTTACTTTAAGCATCTTTCCTGCAAGTTTCAAGGAATTTCATTTTTTGGCCAAAATTGAAAAAAATACAAGGGGTTAGCCTTACATTTTTAACCAAATTTGGCCAAAAATGGACTTTTCTCCAAACAACGCAGAAATACCTCTGGAGACGAGTGGAGCATGAACCAATATTCAAACACCCAAATTTTGGCAGATTTAGGCAAAAATCATCCATTTTGGGGTAGGAAATACATGTAAATAAAAAGCCAAATTTTGACTGTTTTTACCCCAAATTTCGGTCAAATTTTCTTTTCAAAGGCACATCTGTTCCCAAATCGAATTGGAATGTGTTCAGGGTTACCTTAAGCATCTTTCCTGCAAGTTTCAAGGAATTTCATTTTTTGGCCAAAATTGAAAAAAATACAAGGGGTTAGCCTTACATTTTTAACCAAATTTGGCCAAAAATTGACTTTTCTCCAAACAACGCAGAAATACCTCTGGAGACGAGTGGAGCATGAATCAATATTCAAACACCCAAACTTTGGTAGATTGAGGCAAATATCATCCATTTTCGTGGTAGGAAATACATGTAAATAAAAAGGCAAATTTTGACTGTTTTTACCCCAAATTTCGGCCAAATTTTCTTTTCAAAGGCACATCTGTTCCCTAATCGAATTGGAATGTGTTCAGGGCTAACTTGAGCATCTTTCCTGCAAGTTTCAAGGAATTTCATTTTTTGGCCAAAATTGAAAAAAATACAAGGGGTTAGCCTTACTTTTTTAACCAAATTTGGCCAAAAATGGACTTTTCTCCAAACAACGCAGAAATACTTCTGGAGACGAGTGGAGCATGAATCAATATTCAAACACCCAAACTTTGGTAGATTTAGGCAAATATCATCCATTTTTGTGGTAGGAAATACATGTAAATAAACAGGCAAATTTTGACTGTTTTTACCCCAAATTTCGGTCCAGTTTTCTTTTCAAAGGCACATCTGTTCCCAAATCGAATTGGAATGTGTTCAGGGTTACCTGAAGCATCTTTCCTGCAAGTTTCAAGGAATTTCATTTTTTGGCCAAAATTGAAAAAAATACAAGGGGTTAGCCTTACATTTTTAACCAAATTTGGCCAAAAATGGACTTTTCTCCAAACAACGCAAAAATACCTCTGGAGACGAGTGGAGCATGAATCAATATTCAAACACCCAAATTTTGGCAGATTTAGGCAAAAATCATCCATTGTGGGGTAGGAAATACATGTAAATAAAAAGCCAAATTTTGACTGTTTTTACCCCAAATTTCGGTCCAATTTTCTTTTCAAAGGCACATCTGTTCCCAAATCGAATTGGAATGTGTTCAGGGTTACCTTAAGCATCTTTCCTGCAAGTTTCAAGGAATTTCATTTTTGGCCAAAATTGAAAAAAATACAAGGGGTTAGCCTTACATTTTTAACCAAATTTGGCCAACATTTTTTTTTTGGGGGGGGGAACAAAGCGTCCCCCTTGCCCCCTCCCCCTTGCGATGCCCATGTAGTTCGCACTGAACTTTTCAGGCTTAATTAACACACCCTATTGTTTTGATTAAATTGACTTTGACAAATCCTCTTCCTATTTAGGCTTTTTAAAAATGTCACGACCAATCAAGAAAAAAAACTTCAATTGACTTCTCTTCTGATTGTACATTTTGTTAACTTTTTTAGTTGCAAGAACAACTTCATGGGTTATTCAACCATTATTGTCTGGGAATGTACATTTATTAAGATCAATCAGACCATGGAGCTACAGTGAATTATTAAAGAGCTTATCCGTATCTGAATAGGATGAAGCTTGCTGGGTGCATGTATCCATGGTTAGCAAGTGCACACAAGACTTAAAATTAGGCAGGAACATATTAATGCAAAACGTCTTGAGCTCAGACAATTTTGGAGTATGCCAGAGAATGAGGAGTTGGCGCTCTCTTTCAATTTAGTACAGCTTTAAAGGTATAGTCCATCATTTGTCATTTGTGCATTTTGTTCGTTTGAAGCAACAAACATGCTCTAAATCTAAAGAAGGGTACTGAACAACTGAAAAAACTTCAGCTCAGCTTCAGCTATTCATTTCGAGAAAAGCAACATTCTAGGATCTCGATTTCAAATCAAAAGTTGCTGAATCATGTTTTGAATTGGGCCTGAATTTAGCGTCCGAGACACGTTATCACTGAGCCGATTGCAAATACGCGATGTCGCGCACTGATCCGACGAATTATAGCAACCGCGCGCGCGCGTTGGTCAAAGCTTGCGCGCGCTTCACCAAATTAAAAAAAACCCGGAACTACTAACGGAAATTTCCAACGGTGCTTCTTAAGATGCACCGTTGAAAAGGCCTTCTTTCGTTGACTTCTTCAAAATGACAGCTTGCCAGAAAGAATAATTTCACAGGTAGTTTAGTCTTCTTACTATCTTTCAACCAAGTATGTTTTTCAACAATAATTACACCAGTCACTTTTTGGATAGCTGCAAATGATGGACTCTGGCTTTAAACTGAAATTTCAACTGATATGATTGTGACAACGGAAGTCAACGGTCACAAAGGTTCAGTAACCTTAATTCAATACTGCACCAAAAAATATCCTCACGAAATATCTTCAAATGATAATTTTTCAAATCAAAGCTAATCCTTGTTTGCAAGAGTGCGCATTTGTCCATTTGTAAGGCTTTAACAAAAGTAATATTGACACATGAAAGTCTTGAGACAACTATTTTATACATTCAATGGATACACGTTAGTTCACATTTTAATCAAGAAAACACCATCTTATTCAATACTTCAAGTTTTAGAGGGATCTCATTGACATAGCTGACAAATTTCGTTGTCTCTATTTTTATTTCCCAACTGTGTAATTCAGAACAACATTAAAGTCACTTTGAAGGTTATAGCGAATTCTTCCATCAAATAGAAATGAATACAAACAATTAAAGCAACAATATTGTTTTGTAGTGAGCAGCAAGGATACTTTATTAAAATATTAAACATTGATTTCAAAATCACTCAAGAAAGGTGAAGCTGACTATATATCAACATTGTGGTATGTCAAAATTGGACATTTATGGGCAAAACTTCATTTTGAGTTATTGCATTATCAGTGAAACCGTGCTCTTTCAAATGCCGCTTTCTCACACTGTCTGAAATGTCATGCTCATGTTGCATCATTTCAGAACAAACATTTGAAAAATAAAGTCGTTTTGTAAAATGACATGCTTCTCCGAATGTGTTAATGATCCTTTCGCATACAAGGTCAAAAGAAACTTTAAAATATGTTTTCAAGTATGCATTTTGGCTTAACAGAGAACTACTTTTCGTCACATTTACAACCATCTTGAATTTCACAGAATTTGTATTATTATCATTTTCAATGCTCGTGTTCATTCTTTTAACTAAATTATTTGGGTAATTGTTTTTGTGTGAGTTGGGTAGCATATATGGCTGCTGGACATCTAGGGAAACTCAGCTCAACCATTATTGTGTGTGCCGTTGCTGAGACAAACAGCGCCCTCATGTCACATGGCTCACTGGATCCATGCTCCCCACATCTGAAAAATAAACAAAAAACTGTGAATTATTCAATTCATCAAATTAATCTCCCCCCTCCCCCCCCCCAAAAAAAATACAGATCAAAAATGCTTGTGTTGGGTGATTAAGGGTATACTACTGATCCCAAGTACTTGCAATGATGTTGTGTAAATTTTATTTTAGAAAGTTTGTCAACCAAATTTCTTTAGGCCCCCCCCCCCCCCCCACCTGGTGAATTAAAAAATAACAACACACATTTATAGGAATTTAACTATTTTGTTTCTGAATCAACATGCAGGGGCCTAAGTATTTCTGTTTCTGTGGAAAAATTTAATTTTTCTGAGCAGCCACTTTAGGCCTTTAATGTTGTCAACTTAAAAAACCTGAGCAATCACTTCATCAGGAATACATTGAACTTGGCCTTCAGAAAGATTTTCGTAGCAAATTTTCAAGCTCTATACTATGTCTCCAAACTACGTCCTCTAATTGCTATGGCTAGTAATATATGCGCCAATAATGAAAGCGGCTTTACTGCCACCATGTATGCGAGGTGCATGTTCTGGCAAGTTGAAACAAAACAGCCCAGAGTTCAAACTGAGGGTCTGGGGGCATTAGGAAAGAGAACTTTGTCTTTCAGTGCTGTCTATTGCTCTTCAATCAAACATTCTGTTGACAAGTTATGGCTGTTTTTCAACATTCACATTTATCAACATGTACAGAGAAAGTTGAGTTCCACAAAAAACTTTTATTCCATTACTTTTACACCACATGCTTTAGTTTAAAATACATGTAGATGACATATCAAAGAACATTGTCATAAATCTGGAAATCGAGAAAAATCATTCCGACTCTTTGTTTTAAATTTGTATCCAATACGGCATGTGCCCAACTCTGTTTTATTTTGTCAGAATGCCTCACGTATAGGGCCTGATAATACTGATAGTCCTTTAAGTTAGAGACAGGACCCACCTTTGGATTGATGCAATGAAGTTGCATGGTGGCTACAGGGTTCCAGACCACTCCTGTCATTCCATGGGGTGGCATCCCACCCACGTCTCCCATGGCCACATCACGATGCATGCCAGCCATTGGCTCATGCAGCTCACCAAACCGGCTGACAGCTAGGTGTCTGCAGGAAATTACCAAGAGGAATAAAATGAGAGCTCGCAAGCATGACATTTCAGTAATGCCTTGAGATCAGTGTTGTAGTCGAGACCGGATAGTCCGAGACCGAGACCAAGACCGAGACCTGGAGATTCGAGACCGAGACCGAGACCGAGACCGGTCTCGAGACCTACAACACTGCTTGAGATACAAAAGTTACATCTTCATGAGGTTTAGATTTCTTCATTTCATTTTCTTAACGATCACCTGTAAGTTTTTGCTGGTGATCAATCCTCTTGGTAGCTCACGAATCGACTCACTCTCACTGTGCTGGGCAGTGCTGTTGTATAGGATGAGCCTGTAATGCCATGAAATGAATGGGCATGCACTCTAGGGCCAGCTTTGAGGCTTCTTGAGTCTTGGTCTGAACTGTTTTGAAGTCCTGAAATCATGCTGATTAAGTGTAAATTACTTCCTAGGTTTTGCCCTTTACCACTGTTATGATACTCAGTGTGTTACCCCTGAGTGAAAGTGAGAACAAATCAGTGACTGATTTAAAGAATGCTCGCAAACAGATAAGTGGATTGTTCTATCATCCTTTTCAGGCTCTGCAAATAGAGGAGAATAGACTATTCACTATGTTTGTAGAATGCAGGGGAGGGGAGAAAGAATTAGTATGAGACTTGGAGAACGAAGGAGAAAGAAAGTAATAAGGGGGTTCAGACATGAAAAGCTGTAATCTCTTCTTTGAAGTTTTGGTGGCTCTGAAAAGAGCCGTTTTGTTTACCGTATGTGAGAGGAACTATCTACGCTGCCCACCCCGTGAGGCTGGAAACAGGCCCTCCTTCTGCTCCGCGGACTCTGCGATGATGTGAAAGACTCGGTGTGCTCTCTGCCGCTCCGTATGGTCCTGGATCTTGGCATCAATCAGGCTCAACCCAGCTGTTTTGACTGATGCTAGTTGGTCCTCCAGCGAGGCAAGCTTCGAACGGTACTTGCTCAGAATCTGGTGACCCAATTCCACTGTGCACTCTGCCAGTTTTCTTTTCCACAAGACAATCATCTCGGGAGGGCAGGAGATGCCAAGTGGAAGGGTAGGTATGTTTTTATTGACTCTGAGCCAGTCCGGAGTCTCACAGTGCTGAGCTTTTGGTTCTAACTTGGTTGCCTGTTTCCGAACCCGATTTCTCAGGCCAGTCAAGCGGATTACTTCTACTTTGGCATGGTGTACCACCCTAGCTTAGTGCGTCTGGAGTGGGCCTGATTTGCCTGTCTCATTCTTGTCTTTCTTGTCTTCTTGGACGGGGTGGTGGAGGGGGCGGCTGGCATTGTCCAATCGGTATGTCATCGTCGTCGGTGTCGATGAACATCAGCAAATCTTGATCAGCCTCATTGTTCCTTGAGCCGGGGTGGGAGGACAGACGAGTTTTAGTAGATTGTCTATCTTAGTGGTTTTCTAACGGCAGCTGAGAAAATAGTAAGTAAGAACCGGTTAAATGCAAGCAAAATTAGGGGAATGATCTGTAATGATCAATCAGAAGATTGAGTCGGACCTCCGCAACCACTTACATGTATAATAGGCCTCCCACAAAAATTCAACTGACCCACATGTAGAGCAAGTCTCACTTCTTAATCCGACTCGTAATGAGAATTAGTAGTCCACACTAAACAAATAAACATGATTCATGTACATATAGGTGGCGGTTCTTTGTGCATGGCAGCATCAATCGTCGCATTTGTGACAACAACTGGTCAGAGACAGTGCTTGACTGCATTAAGGAAGCTGTAGCTGAAAGGGGACTACCATCCAGAGTAAGAGGGGACAAGGGAGGAGAAAACACATTTGGTGAAGGCCTTGATCCATCAAGAGGTGAAGTGAAGGTAGAGGTAGTTTCATCTCAGGGCGCAGCATTCACAACTGTCGCATACAAATGTAGAAAGACTTTGGAGGGATGTGTATGAGGCTGTATTGTCTTCATTTCATGCACTATTCTACCATACAGAGGACATTGGTCTTCTTGACCCAGATAATGAAACCCATCTGCTGTGTCAGAAGAAATGGCTGGAGCCGTGTACATGCATGCTTACAAATATTTGCATTAGTTTACTGATAACATGGTATGCTGAAGATTTTCAAATAAATCAGTCGATAATTCGAAAGCCCTACTCAAAAATGAAAATTGTTTTTACTAGAAACAAGCAGCCGATAAAGCTGCAACTTCCAGCAGACGCCTTGCTGAGATCCCCCGAGAAGAACAAAACCATGCCAATTTGCCCAAGAGACAGTTTGGACGATGAGGGAATGCCTTCAAGACCAAAACAGAGCATGATATTTATCACTGTCAGATTGAAAAGCTAGCAAAAGAGAAGTGCTACGAGCAGGCGGCAGAATGGAAGAGAAGCGTGAACAACCATGTCTACTGGTGGCCCTCCTCAACCACAGATAAAGAGGAAGACATACGGGAGGCTAAGTGGCTCCCTATTCTGAATCACATGCAGAATAAGCATAGAGGGCATTCCAATCATTGTGAATTGGTAGCAGCGGTTTTTCACCTGCCCAAGGCATCATCACATCCACATCTGTCTCCATATCTTCATCTTCATCTTCTAACCCCTATATTCCGTAACTCTGTGTGAGTTGAACTTTTTGCTGCTGAAAAGACGAAACAGAACATCTGTTTCCCACATCCCTGCAGTCATCGTCGTCATCCTGGCTAGAACTATCTTCATTTCGTCCATCCCTTCATTGTACGTCAGGTATAAACTGCCTGATACCCCTACAAGTTTTCGTCGTTTGCCTGTCCAGTGTCCTGTCTTCTAGCTTCCGTCTCTCCACTTTTCCTGCGCCGAGTCCAGCCGACTTCTTCAAACTGTTCCAGCATCTTCATATTTTCCTTGGCGACTTCTCTACAATTTTCCTGCTTCTCGTCGCCATCTTCAATCTGCGTCCTTCCAGCCACCTTCTTCAAACTTTTCCAGCTTATAGCCACCTTCGCCCCATCACTCTTCCTGCGTCTGGCTGAAGTGTTTCCTGCGTCCTCTAAAAACTGAGTGGCAACGTGTTCACACACTGTTGGACAGTTTGTCCAATCATGGAGCTATTTAATCCTAAGGTGCCAAGTCTATAATGGTCTCTGGCCACGTGTCGTTGCCATGGACACGGGAGTGAGTGTCCTGTGTGTATTTTACCCCAAACTGACCTTGAGTAGGGCCTTTGACAATTGGTATAGATGTTTCATTCATACAACCTGTGCCTCCCAAACCATCGCCAGCCAAGTCACATGTCACCCCACCTTCAACCCTCATACTCGGCTCACTGCACTCTTTGGTTCCCTACCGCTTCCAACCCCAACACCCCTGCACAGGAACCCAAGTGGAGTCCGAAGGACGTCCTGTGGAGAAATTGGCCATTGTGCAAGAGACAGTCCAGCAACTGATTTTCATCAATCAGATCGTCGTTCCGCAAGAGGAGCATCAACATCGATGGTACAAGAGGATAATCGTTGATGAAGGGCTCTTCCAAGACTGATGACGACATCCGGTGGATCGAACTGTACATTGAAACTACGGACAATCTAAGTTTATTGTTGTATCTTGTGTATCACTATATTTTTGTACTTTTTATATATTTCATATCCTTTTCAACTTCATATTTGGTAGCACTATTGGCACGGATGTGCAGATGATCATCAGGGCAACCTAATTTATTTAAGCAAAGTTTTAAAGTTACATGTATATACATGTAGCATTTTACCTAAAATATGGTAACCCTCTTGCTTTAAAATAAAAATTAAGTCAGCATATCTAGATGAGGATGTTAAGGCTTGTCAGGAGGCTTTGTGGCACAACAAGGAATCTTCCGGTAGTGCCGTGCACATGGCGACTCTTATCGTGACTTTCCCTTTTAGGGCCGTTACGTCACACGATGGCCTACATGTACATTGACATTCCTGATGCTAAATGAACTTCTTCCAAAGCTGAGGAGAGACAACCTCATACTAATTGGTATTTGGTGTGGAAAGAGAAAACCAAACATGGCTGTATTCCTGGAAAAATTTGTCAAAGAGGCAAAACAACTAGCAACAGATGGTGTCAGATGGAATAGGAATAGGGTTGCAGTAGACAGTAAGTTCTTTTGCCTGTGCTGTTGTGTTGATGCACCTGCATCAACACAACAGCTCAGGGCAAAGAAATTTTGGGTACTATGGTTTGGTACCGTACTAACGGGTACTATGGTTGTTTGCTGTGTTACCATCCAGGGAAGTCAGTGTTGTTAAGTATTGGTTTAGTAAACAAAATATGCAACATATGATTGTTATTTTTTACAAAAGTACAAACTGTTCAACCAATGAGATTCCATAGTCTGAATGAACAAAATGGAGGATGACGTAGAAGTGTGGTGCGGCAAAATTTCTGCCAAACTGAAGAAAAAATCTCGTCTAAAGCCATCCACAGGCTGCTGGCTGTGGATGGGAACCACTGCCATTGATGTTGCAGAGTATGGTGAAAGGAAAGAGGATGAAATGCTAGCTGATTTGCCGACAGCAGTGCAAGAAAATCATAGTGTAAGGGGCGTCAAAGGACCAACACCATTGGTAAATATACCCCATTTCCCCATTGTTTGGGGCTTTCCACCTGATTTTATACGTTGTTCACAACTGGGAGTAACCAGGCAGTTAGCAGAACTGGGATCAGGGGTCCTTCTCAGAGCCAGCTGTAATCCACGTAGGGAATGTCGGCAACCTGGGAGGTACCGTTAGTCAGGAGGACAAGCAATGTTAAACATGGTGACTAACCACGATGCCGCATCGACATGTTCCTCTATGCCGTCACTGGAGGCGATTCCTATTGCTGATGAGGGCACAGGAACCCAAGTTGAGCCAGAAGGACATCCTAAGGAGAAATTGGCCATTGTGCAAGAGACGGTCCAGCAACTGACTTTCGTCAATCACATCATCGATTGGCGGGAGGAGCATCAACATCGATGTTACAAGAGGATAATCGTTGATGAAGGGCTCTTCCAAGACTGATGACGACATCCGTAAAGATGACCCAGGTTCTAACCAAGACACAGACCTGTCAAAGCTAAGAAAAACAACCAGGAGGCAGGCCCAACAAGTGCAACAGCACTCCTCCAGTAAAGATGGCCCAGGTTCTAACCAAGATGCAGACCTGCCAATGCTTAGAAAAACCACAAGGAGGCAGGCCGAACTAGTGTGTACGTATACCAAGCACACCACCTCTGAGGTAGGATGGCTGGTATGCCGTCCATATTGCCCATTCCAAGCATTCAACTGTCACGGTACGAGGGTACAGCCAATACCGGCCTACGTATTGCACTATTGAACGCAAACCTGGCTTCTGTTTTTTGCCATGTCCTTTGGGTATTTTGCCCACACAATATCTGTAACATCTGGGTGTTTTTGTACAAGCTATGTCTATCCTCCTTCATAAGAGCATCAGTTTTGAAGAGGGTGCCTTGTCAATGACATTCAATGTACATTCAAAATGCATTTAGCTACAAGTGTTCAGAAATGGGGGCCTCTATGGACACATTCATGTTTTCCATTTGAATCATTCCAAATACTGTAGGGTGCCTTGTCAATGACATTCAATGTACATTCATAAATGCATTTAGCTACAAGTGTTCAGAAATGGGGACCTGTTTTGGCACAATCGTGTTTTCCATTTGAATCATGCAATGGTCAAGTTAAGAAACTGTTGTGTGGTAATAAGGGCATTTCCCTGCAGGCTATGCGCAAGTTCATGCTGCTTAAGGCCTTTCCTCTTTTCTGCCACAAGCATAATGTGTCAGACAGGATAACATTGCTTTGCAACCTGATTTTAGGCACTGCAGAGAAAGCATATCAAATGGGTGACGGTGACTTAAAAGTGTTGGGTACACAAAGAAGTTTGTCACTTACTGAAGAGGAAAGGTTTGCTCTTACTTCTCATGGTTATGAATTCAAACCTGTGTTTCTCTGTTTGAGGGTAATCAGGGTATTTCTTGAATTGATGTTTTATTTTCCTCTGGATTTGTGGTGATTTATTCTCTGCAACCGAGACGCCCAAGAAGAAGCGTGCGTGTGGCCGTCAGAGACTGCCGCCTGGTTCCCCTCACAGTTCACCAGGTACGAACTTTTCATGTAATAACACATTTAAAATCTGCACAGTACGTGTCATGGAATTCTTAATGTACAATAAACAGTTGTTATCATTTAAACCTGTGTTTCTCTGTTTGACGTGTTTTTTTTTATTTGATGTTTTATTTTCCTCTGTATTTGTGGTGATTTATTCTCTGCAGCAGAGACACCCAAGAAGAAGCGTGCGTATGGTCGTCAGAGACTGCCCCATGGTTCCCCTCACAGTTCACCAGGTACATAAATGTAAATTCCTACCTTAGACTTAAAAAGAATGGATGCACATTTCAGACCGTACACTACACTCGAACAACTGTTCGAAGTAACAAGTACTCTTGTTTACGTGATGGAACACCAGGTGAATTACACCGCATTCTTGTGCATGATGGGCAGTATTTCATACTGTAAAAGGAACTTATGTTGAGTGATGCTAATGAGGTTGAAAGTTGACAGTTCAACTGGTTTCAACTGGGATTTTTACCTGGGGAAGAACATTTGGTTAGAATGACCAAGAAGCATACATGTACCAAGTACATTTTCTCCAATAAATCTGAGAAGAACCCAAGCAACATAAGTCGTGCCATATTGCAGAAATTAATGAAACTGCAGAAAACTATGACTTATGCACTGGAGTTGTTATGATAGGTCAGCAATCCATGATAAACTTCACATTCTGACTGACCTCCAGAACATTTGACCTTTAGAGACCAGCATGGATGAATAGAATAAGCCAGGGTCCTATTTTAGGCAGAACGAGAAGGCCCAACCCTCAGTTTTGATTTTAGACCTTGGCACTAATGATTTATGTTCAAAAGATATAGAGCCAGTAGAGTCGTATGCCTTTAACAATTTCAAAATAAGTTGATTACATGTAGTTGGAGCATTTCCCCTAGGTTGAGCAGATTGACAGAGCAGATAATGAGGTGCCTTGTGGTGAGGGTACTGAAGCTGTATCCGAAAGTGCACCTCATGAGGTGTCTGTGAATGAGACTACATTTTTGTAAAGTTGTTGGTGATCAGGGGTCCTTCTCAGAGTAGTTAAGGTGTCCACGTAGGGACCGTCTGCTACCCTGGAGGTACCGTTAGTTAGGAGGACGGGCAATGTTACACATGGTAGCTAACCATGACGCGGCATCGACATGTTCCTCTATGAGGCTACCACAAAGGACACAGGAACCCAAGTGGAGCCCGAAGGACGTCCTGTGCAGACATTGGCTGTTGTGCCCGAGACAGTCCAGCAACTGACTTTCATCAATAAGATCATCGTTCGGCGGGAGGAGCGCTCATCAGCATCGATGGTACAAGAGGATAATCGTTGATGAAGGACTCTTCCAAGACTGATGACGACATCCGGTGGATCGAACTGTACACTGAAACTATGAACACTGTGATTTTTGCTGATTACTTCTAGTTCTATGATAAATCTTGTAAAAGGTACATGGTATGATGCCTTGTCAATGACATTCAATGTATATTCATTAATGCGTTTAGCTACAAGTGTTCAGAAATGGGGACCTGTTTGGGCACATTCATGCTTTCCATTTGAATCATGCAACAGTCAAGTTAAGAAACTGTTGTGTGGTAATAAGGGCATTTCCCTGCAGGCTATGCGCAAGTTCATGCTGCTTAAGGCCTTTCCTCTTTTCTGCCACATGCATAATGTGTCAGACAGGATAACATTGCTTTGCAACCTGATTTTAGCTCAGTGAAAAATGCCTTACATGAATTGGCATGGAGCGGCCGCGAGAAGGCGGCACAGCCACCTTATTACATGACGTCATCACGCTGACCATAAAAGGCAAATTTCATGAATGAGACTGTTGCGCATGTGCACGTACGTAGCGTCGGTAACTCGAGTTGTTTCCACTTCGACAGAGCTCACAACGATCTTTCATTTGGT